CCTGAAGGTGTCAGAGTGAAAGGAGGCCAGGAGCAGACTTCAGATGCTTCAGGAGGCTCTGGCTCTTTAGCAAAGGTTGCACAGGAATATTGGTAACAATTCTGCTGGTCCACTTTGATATGTAAGGAGAAGAGCAAACCTGTCAGAGAAGGTACCCATCTGGGTTTTGAAGAGGGTGCATTGTGCTGGAGAACCGCGTGTTTGGTCTTTCAATACCAGAGAAAAGTTTGGAGGAGGGCAGCAAGGGGAAAGGGCGGGCACTGCCCCTAACCCTGAACAATGAAGTAGTGGCATCAGAAGGAAAAGTAATCATGGCAAAAACAACAATAAATAACAGTGAGGGCTTAGATGGTCTTTTAAGCACATTGCCTAAACTAAAGCACAGAGAGGTAAGTAACTTCTCAAAGCCATGCACCTGGTTAAGTGGACAGGAGTGGGGCTTAGTGAAATGTCCCTTAACCAGTTCACCTAGGAGCAGCCCTTGAGAACACTGCAAAGCAAATGTCATCCAAGTTCAGTCTCCTTTGATTTAAGGCAATCATTTTTATGGGAACCTGACAGATCCCCAATAGTTCGTGGCTTACAAAGGGTTTTATAGTCATCATTCTGGAATTCCAGGCTTGTTATTTACTTGCTGTATGACTCCAGGCCTGTTACTGGTTAAGCTAAGTCTTACTTGTCCCATCTGTCAATGGGGTATAGTTCTATTCCTGATCAGGTTCACGCAATAAGGTTATGTATATGCAGGGTCCCCCATCCCTAACAAGCACCCAGCAAATGTGTGTGGTTATTGCTGAGATGGACCTTATTCATATTTCACTGGAGCTGCAGAACAATCCTGTTAGGTGGGAAGAATTTATTATCCTCATTTCTCAGACATGGAAGGCAAAACCCATAACAGCCAGAGAAGTGGGAAGGAAGGTCAGCCTTGGAAAATCTTCGCATTCCAAACCTCAACCCTTCCTCCTAACCTCAACCCCACCTCCTCTCATCTCCCTGGGAGACAGTGTTCATGGAGGTGACCATTCTCCCAAGAGGACTGGGCAATGGTTGGAAGAAATTGCAAGTCTGGGCTTAGAGAAAAGGTGCTTTGGAATATGGAAAAAGTCTTGGAGGTGAAGTTAATGCTCCTGTTCATGGCTCAGCCAGGTAGCATCTACCCACGTGTGCGTACAAGGAGGCACACAGAATGAGGTTGTACTCTGCGAACAAAGATGCTAACCCAACTTCAGCCACAGCAGATTCACAATGGGTGGGGGGAGCAGTGTGCAGGCCCAGTAGTAGAGGATACTGGATGTATTTGTGTTCATCCACCAGGTGAACTGGAGAGTTTTAAAAAATGCAGCCAAAATAAGCAAATGCCACTTTAAGATGAGGTTCCACTTCTTTTTTCTTTTTTTTTTTTTGGGGGGGGGGGTTTCCATGAACACATTACAGTTTCCCAGGAGCTCTGGTGGAGTGATGGTTAGGCTTTAGGCTATTGAACACAATGTCAGTAGTTCAAAACCACCAGCCACTCCTCAGGAGCAAGGTGAGGCTTTCTACGCCCATTAAGATGTTCAGTCTTAGAAGCCCACTGGGGCAGTTCTACACTCTCTTAGTGTCATGAAGAGACCTGGATTTTCTGGTCTAGTACATAGGTCACTGGGAGGTACAGATGACTTGAGCTCTGCTACTCACCTAAAGGTGGGTGGTTCGAACCTACCCAGTGGTACTGTGGAAGAGAGCTTTGGAGAACCACTTCCATAAAGAATTTAGCCAAGAGGACCCTATAGAGCCGTTCACCATGAGTCAGAATCAACTGGGCAGCAAGGGGTTAAGCATTCGAGCCCAAGGCCCTGACTTTCAGGTGCCTTCCCCCCAACACTGTGTGCAGAGTTTTCACAGATATCTTTTCCTTTAAACTTTTATGAACATTCATATTTTATATCCTACACCAGGAAGACGTTTCCAACAAAACACACTCGACACTTGGTACCTGTAGAGCTCCATTTCAGTAACGTGCCAATGATTAAGTCAGCAATTGTTGTAGGGAACTCCCACTGAGTGCCAGGCCTGGGGACTCCACCAAAACCCACTGGCACCAAGTCAATTCAGGCTCATAGCAACCCTGTGAGTCAGAGGAGAATTGCTCCTTAGGGTTTTCAAGATGATAAGTCTTATGGGAGCTGATAGCCTCATCTCTCTCCCTCGCAGCGGTTGGTAGGATGGAATAGCCCACATTGAAGTTAGCAGCCCAGTCCTTAACTGGTGAGGCCGCCAGGGCCCCTGGCTTGTCACAGTGCAGCATAAAACAACAGGGAAGACTCCTTCCTCATGGAGATTGCAGTGATTTATCCTTTGTACTTATGACACTTTTAGTTCGCAGCTAAAGAGACACTGACTACTCTGAGTTTCCCCACAGCATCTGAGACTTGGCCTAATAGTCTCAGAATCGAATTGACTTAATGTCCAGTTAAAAATGCAGTCCTCTAATTAGATATTCTACTTAATCACACAAGGTGGCGCTCTTGCTTACAGTTTGCCTGAGCTGTTGGCGAGGCTTTAAAAACAAAACAAAACCCCGTAGAAGTTCAACTCAAAGATCAAAAATTAAATTCAATTTATCTCCCGTCTATTTAGTGTAACGAACTATGCTAGATGTGTAGGGGCATAAAAGAGTTGATAAGACATGGTCGCCGGCCTCTAGAGATGCAGAGTATGCCGAAGAGGAAGACATCATTTTTAAAGAAATTAATATGTTTTGATGTATCCATAGGGGAGACATAGCAATCTCTTTATCAGATAAAATCTATAAAAAGGCAGACAATAGTCACAGTGGGTTACGAAAAAGATTCAATAAGACACCCCACCCCCACCCCGCACCACCAACACACACGCACGCGCGCGCGCGCACACACACACACACACACACACACACCACTTGGGCCAATAAAACGCTCACCAGGCCAATGAAAACAATTGAGGGTACCTGGCTCAAAGGCCTCATGTCTGGTCATTTGATGTATCTGCTCAGCTGCAAGCATAACTGTGCCATACTATTGGAGAATTCCTCCTTAGCTTAGAGGCTAATCTACCATCAGTGGCAGGTGATGAGCTAGCTAGTGCAGTGGAAAACCTGCGGGCACACCTGGAGAGGTGGGGGTGGGGCGAAAAGAGCAGGGTAGGGAAACAGATGTCAAAGGCGGGTCCTCTCCTCCCGGGCCATTGGTTGAACTGAGGTGGACAGAAGCTCGCCTTGAGCCTGGGGCACACTTAGTGTGGTGCAGAGAAGAAAGCCCGGTGTCTTAAATCCAAAGGGAGCCTGAAAGAGGTGCTGGGGCTTGATGCTCCACCCCATCCCCCAAACATTTTTTTTTTTAACCAGTCCGTCAAATGTTATGGAATGTGCGTGTGTGTTTTTCTTAATTGAAAAGTTAGGGTTGGTGAATAAAACGATTGGCTAAATGGCAGTAAATTAAGGAAAGCCTGAGAATTGTGGGGCCTGGATCAAAGGACCGCACTTTTCTTCATGGAGGGCCAATCAGGTGCCTGCGCACTGGACACTAGTTCGAATCTCAGCTTCCCCACTCACGAGCGGTGGGGTCCTGAGCAAGCCCCACTCCTTGTCGGTGCCTCGGCGTTCTCCAGGGCAAAACGTATTTCCTCTGGGAAATCACCCTGGAATACCCGCTCCTGGTGCTCCGTGCTCCCTAGAACGTCCGGCCCCCCCACCCCCCACCCCCAAGGTCTGGGGTTGGGATTTCAAAGCCCTGGGGCCAGAGGCGAGGACAGTCGCCTGGTTGAAAGGATCCAGGACTGGACGGGGGCAGGGAAAGAAAGGTGTTCTCTGCACACCGGAGGTGTGATCCTGCGTGAGTTCCGTGGGACCCGCGGAGGTGCCAACCCCACGGAGACCTTTGGTGGTGGGCGTGCTCGCGAAAAGGGACAGGTCGGTCCAAAGTGGTCTGCTCTAAAGGGCGTCTCTCGTGAACTAGAGCACCATCCTGGGTGGCTCCGAGATTCCCAGGGGACCTTATGTAAGGCGGCGTGGATCCCACCGCCAGGAAACGACAAAGGCTGGGGGACCCGCCCAGAGCGCAGCCGGGCCCAGAGCGCGGCCGGGGACCCGCTAAAGTTCGGGAAGAGAGCCGGCGACCACTCACCACTGCGAGGACCCAGGGGCGCGTGCCCCAGCCAGACCCCAGGCTGCAGCTCGGCGACACCCCGTGCGGGAGCCACCCGCCAGGCGTCTTCCCAGCCCCTAAGTCCCGGACTGGGCGCAAGGCCATCCGTCCCTGTTGGAAAGAGCCA